CGGCCGCCGCCGCCGCGGACCAGGCGGCCATGGAGGAGGCAGCGGCGGCTCTGAACGAGAGCGGAGCGGCCGCCCACCGGCTGCCGGGCGGCGGCGGCGGCAGCAGCGGCGGCGGCAACACCTCGCTGGAGCTGTCGTCGCGGGCCCCCGCGCAGCCCGCCGCCCTCAACCCCTGGGATGTGATGCTCTGCGTCTCCGGCACCGCCATCGCCTGCGAGAACGCCCTGGTGGTGGCCATCATCTGCTACTCGCCCGCCCTGCGCACCCCTATGTTCGTGCTGGTGGGCAGCCTGGCCACCGCCGACCTCCTGGCTGGCCTCGGCCTCATCCTCAACTTCGTTTTCCAGTACGTGATCCGCTCGGAGACGGTCAGCCTGCTGACGGTGGGCTTCCTCGTCGCCTCCTTCGCTGCCTCGGTGAGTAGCTTGCTGGCCATCACGGTCGATCGCTACCTCTCCCTCTACAACGCCCTCACCTACTACTCGGAGAGGACGGTGCTGTGCATCCACACCATGCTGGCGGGCGCCTGGGGGGTCTCCCTCTGCCTGGGGCTGCTGCCCGTCCTGGGCTGGAACTGCCTCCACGACCCCACCACCTGCAGCGTCGTCAGACCCTTGACCAAGAGCAACGTGACGCTGCTGTCCGCCTCTTTCTTTCTCATTTTCCTCATCATGCTCCATCTCTACATCGAGATCTGCAAGATCGTTTGCAGGCATGCCCACCAGATAGCTCTCCAGCAGCACTTTCTGACTGCCTCGCACTACGTGGCCACCAAAAAAGGGGTCTCTACCCTCGCTATAATCCTCGGGACTTTCGGAGCCAGCTGGCTGCCTTTTGCCATCTACTGTGTAGTGGGGGATCCCGACTACCCTTCCGTGTACACATACGCCACGCTTCTACCCGCCACCTACAACTCCATGATCAACCCCATCATTTACGCCTACAGAAACCAGGAAATCCAGAGATCCATGTGGGTGCTCTTCTGTGGCTGCTTTCAAGCTAAAGTGTCCTTTCGCTCCCGGTCCCCTAGCGATGTCTGAGTGACTTTTCTCTCTGTCATACCGCACCGAGGACAATCTACTCAGTGAACTATTCCAGTGCCTGTTCTAAACTTCAAACTACGTCATGAAGTCATTGGAAACACGCTTAAGTATTAGCACTTTATACATGTTTGTATCTCTGAGAGTGGTTCGGGGTACGGAGTTTGGGGTTCTGTGAAAAAAAGTGGTTGTATATAAATTTGCACATCACATTTGTAAAGTGAAGACATTCCAATACCGCTTAATTATAGCACCTTATTTCTAGCTGCTGACCTGCCAAAACAGTGTTGCCTTTCTGAAGGGCAGAGAGAAAGAAAGTGGTATTTGTGTTGTATTTGTACATGTGTGTGTGTGTAGGGGAGGGGGGGGATGTATGTATGTATGTGTGTGTGTATCTATACTTTGCTGCACAATATAGATAAATTATAACATTTTGTATACAAATAAAAACATTAATATAAGTTTGTGTGCTTCTATGCTTTTAGAAATAGGAGGGCTTTCAAATATGCCAATTGAGCAAAGTTCCTTTGTTTACTTTTGAAAGCTCCCCATGTAATTCTGCCTAAAGAGATCATCATTCACTATGGAGATGAAATACTGCACCAAGAAAGGCACCTTGCTGCTTGCTTGTTTGTTTGGTCTCTTCTTTACTCTGGCAAAGAGAGAGTAACAAAGAGCACAAACTCCTTTTTATTCTCCAGCAACCAAAGAAACACAAACCCCAGTCAAATAGGCTGCTAATTACAGTTATTCTCCAGGTTTCCAGTAGCTTTCGTCTTCAGGTTATAAGTTAGCCCTTTGTTATAATGCTCCATTAAAAAGTTATCAAACTGTGGGGAGAAATTGGACTCTAAGTTAGGTTCCTTTTTTTCTCTTTTAGTCTAACACTGGAGGGGGGAAAAAAAAAAGAAATAAAGAAAAAAAAGGTCACAGTCTTCCTCCCTAAAAGCCTGTAAAATGCCATAATAAATTGACTTTCCTTATCATCCGCAGTTCTGAGGGGAACCTGAGTTTTTCCTCTCTCTCCCTTTTTTGGACTGCGTGCTGTAGAAAAATCATTTAAGTGCATCTTTGCTGTCTGCCTCTCTCAGAGCAGTACACAGTTTTCTGATAATCCCATGACTTAGTGGCTTCAAGGAGTCCATCAGAGGTCAATGTTGTTCAGAGTTCAAAAACACTTCTTCACTCAGGTTCAAATTCACCAGCAACTGATTTATTTAGAGCAATAACAGGCACAGCAGATTTCAGCAGCACTGTTGCTGCTTATTTATTTTTAATTATGCTGCATTTACATCCCAGTTGTGTTATAGCTTATCACTATCATTTCAATTTTTATTTAAGGGCTGAAACAAATTACTTTTATATGCACAGTACCATATAAAAAGTTTGGACTACTTTGTTTCCCAGTTTATGACTGGGCAATTGCCTGCTGGAGCACCTGGGGCCACGAGCATCCAAGAAGCCCCAGCGAGGCTGTGAATCAGTAACGCTGTATTCATGTGGGTGCAAGTACTATGAGAACCAATATCATTTCACTGATAATATAAAGATGCTTCATTTACAACCATACCTGTATTCCAGACTCCGCTAGCCCCATTATTTTTATCAATTTTAATAATTACAAATGTGACATTGCAATTGATGACCACTTTCAGGCACGCAGTTCATCAGGGCACCATTGCAGTGATGTTACAAATAGGATTTAAATCAGATCTTGTCATGGGTGAAAACATTGCTTGGACTCAGAACTCCAAAGTTGCTAGTGAAAAATATTATTTTTCTCCCTCTTTTAAACCCTTATCTTGTATGCTACATCTAAGCAGGTAAATAAAAGAGAGCAAGGCCTGCACTCTAGCCCTGTGGCCAGGTGGCACAGAGCATGCCTAACCTCTTTTCCCCATGTAAAGCCAGGGACCAAACTGCTGGCTGGAGCATCCTGGCCCTGCTCTAATGACCTGCATAGACTCAGCCAAACATGCTGCATTACCCATAGTAGTAACTGCTGAGAAAAACAACCCATAGTAGTAACTGCTGAGAAAAACAACCAACGAGTACCTTGGGCTGGTGAAATCTGGCAACACTTACTGGTAAAACTTGAAAACTTGCCATCCGCTAAGCTTTAGTCTCATAAATCTTTGTCATTCCTGTGTGGACCACAGTGAAACCACCTCCGCTTCAGTGCACTGAACCTGCACCCAGGTGTGAGATGATGAGTAGGATCTGAGCCTGGGAGCCCTGTGCAGGCTCTGAAAACCCATATCAGCTCTAAAAGCCCCTAGGAGAAATTTCTTATGAGGACTTTTAGACCCTGAAGTTAAGGAGACAGAATCTGCTAGAGACCACGCTTGATGCCACCGCCCTCCATTAACTCTGTCAGGAACTGAGCATAGGGGATTTTCACCATAAATTCATTAAGCAGTGACAAGCTGTATAAAAGTTAAATATAGAAAACTTTGATGAATACTATTCTACTTCACTAATAAACCACTTCATCCAGGACTGAAAAGGACTGAGGTGAGTTACTTTTCCATTTTTAGCCCATTTTTATTTGCTTTGTTTCAATTTTTTTTTTTTAACTGTATGACCATATTTTGTTTAGAGCTTTCCCCAATGTCTTACTGAATCTACAAAATAGAGCTGGATCCCTCCTGTTAAAAATACGACACACTTAAGGTATTTCCCCAGGCATTCTTCCCCGCTTCTAGGAAGCAAATTTGGGTTACAGTGATCTTAGCCATTCGTTTTGTTGGGACACTACAAATGTGGGATGTTTTTTTCTATAAACCATATTCAGAAAGTTTTTGCTGACTCGTACTTTCTGGGAAAGACTAAGGCAAAAGAGGAGAGAGTATTTTGATGTTTTTTGGTTAGCCCTGAGAGTGAAATTGACGTCAACCCACTTGCAGTAAAATACGACCTTTCATTTTCAAAGCAAGCCCTGTTCTGCAGGGATACCTGAGCAGAATAACATAAAGCAGGCTACATAACCTCTTGCCTCCCCAAATAACATCTCACTTCAGAAAAAGAAGAGCTGCAATTCCTGAAGGAGGAAGTCTGGGAATTGTGTATACTATTGATGTTTTCCTTGCTGAGTTTTTTATTGAGACAGCAGACATTTATTTGAGAAAATGGTGTTACACCTGCGACATCTGGACCCACAGACTCCTCCTGTTGTCAGATGATGGCACTTTTACCTTGGTCCTGAAATGATTTGTGGAAGACAAAAATTCCTGGAGCCCCCCTATTGCCAGTTACTGGGCAGTGCATCGCTATGACCCCCAGGCAGCCCTGATGGCAAGCCAGCGAGGGGGACAACCTTGTGCTCACTCTGATCTTGTGTTTCCAAAAGTCAACAGGCAGATTTGCCTGCTCAGAGAGTGCAGAACTGCATTAGGAGCTGCCATCACCACCCGTGAGCACAGATCTTTCCTTGTCCCCGTGGGCCCGTGTGCTCAATGGTTTTTATGTTCTCACATCACCGGTGCAGCCTGTGAGGGGAGAAAACACACACTGGGTTAGGAGCAAGGATCAGGTCCAGTGTTTGGTAATAATATATGATATTATAAGCCTTTACTGAAAATGGAAGTGAGATTTCCTGCTTTACCACCCTTAAAAATTCTTTGGCTTATTCTGAAGAAGATAGAATAATGTCATTCTTGGTTGAAAGAGCTCCCCGCATGCTCCCACTAAAACCAGTGATGCTCTACTGCACATCAGCCAAGATAATGACAGTATCTCATTATAAAAAAATACCATTTTGAGGCAGGAAGTCCCAGGCCTCAGCACCAATTTTCATTAGAAACTAATGGTTTATTACTAGCCTTGAAAATCTTACAGTTCTTGCAGTGCCTCAAAAGGCCAGAGCCTAGCAATTTGGCTTGCATGAAGTGCCGCTCCCTGTGATTAGCTCCCTCGTTTCAGCAGGAGAGATTAGAGAAAGAAGAGCAGAGCTCTGGTGAGGAAGCCTGGTTGGGAGCCGGGCCGAAAGCCCCCTATGTTGCTTGATTTTCTGTGGGGCTTCTGCTGAAATCGTCGGTGTAACGGTGGAAACGAGACCAACTCTGCAGGCTGCTTTGTGTGAGTCACTGTATATTAAAAAGCCAGCTGGATTCAAAATCACAGGTCAAACAAAACCTCTTCATTTAGCTAAGCAAACAAAAGGACAAAACACTTTTAAACCTGAAAAGTGAGTCTGTACATATTTTTATCAATGTAATGATCCACAGGCACTAAAGTAACACCCAGCAAAGCACTAGAAGCTCTAATCTCCATTCTGCTGCTCTCGTTTTAAAAGGATACATTTTTTTAATGAAGTAAAAAATCATTTCTGGTAGCGCAGCTGCTCCTAAGCTCTTCAGCTGGCTTTTGTGGCAGTCGTTTAAAAAGAGAAAAAGACAAAGGGGAAAACAAAAAACCACAATTTTCTCCTTCTTGCTGCTTCATGATGGAGACATGCAACTCGGATGGCAAGGACTGACTGAGTGCGTGCGATTCAGCTCCGCAGGGAGGAAGGGCACATCTGGAGCTCACCTGAACCCATGCTGGGTTTGCTTCTCTGGGGGGTCACTCTGAGTTGTGAGGTGTCTCCCCGTTGCCTGTTCCTCATTGAGTGAACTTCTCCCTGGGACCCACTGCAGCTGAAAGCTCAGGGAGCAGCTCCTGAGCTGCTGCGTTTTGCTCAGGAGAGGAAAACTGACATGGATTTCCCTGCCCTCTCGATGTTTAAACTCTTTCCTCTGCATACAGAAAATTCTCCCAGGGAGAACATTCTTCCAGGGGCAGTGTTTCATTTATGGAGGGCAGTAACTTGGCATGGAAATAATCCAACTGCCACCGGGACTCCTGAAGAGCCATAAGTGCTGACTCAGCACTGACAGTAGATGTGGCAGCTGGTTCAGCGGGGGCAGGTCTGCTCCTGTCAGCTCTGTCTGCTGCAGCGAAGTGATGGAAGGTGGCGGGAGGTGAAGTGACGGTGTGGTCTCTGTGCAGGGTCCACACGCTGTGGCAAAGACTGGTAGTGAAGGGTTTTATTCCAGCAGATTCCCATTCTTTTTTTTTATCATCCTACTTTGCTGGCATCATAATACACATGGTAGGAGAGAAAGAGCCAGAGGAAAGATAAGTGGGCTACGATCTGCACAACATGGAAACAGGTATCTTGTGTACATCAGCTAAATGTGGTGCACCCTTCCAGCAGCAGGATGGTGCTGCACACGACAAAAGAGACCAAAAACATTTGTTTGTTGAGGCATCATTTGAGTTAGCATAAATTCTAGACCCCTCAAATGGACAGCTGCAAGTCCAAGCAGATCGCTTGAGCTGCCCATCCTTGTGGAGGAATAAAACACAGTCAAGATCCACCTTTCACCCTGCCTTTGAGCACAATTAAACTTCTAGCTGCACACCCAGACTTGGTGATCACTTACAAGACAACATGCCTTCTCTATCCCCTGCTGCCCCC